CAAATTTCTTGAATTTGTTCTTTTCCAGTTGTTGATATAATATCAGCAATATGAATCTTGATAACTTCATAATTATCCTCCTGAATTTCTTCATTATAATCGATATTTGCTTATTCCTATTAAATAAATAAGCAAATTTATATAAGTAAAGTATTATCAACTAAATATCGTAATAAATAATTTACTTGTATCATAGAATTGATAGTTGTTATATTAATTTTAAAACAATCATAATAAAAACATTTTTGCATTTGTTTACAAACAGCAAATACTATTGCTGGCATAAGGTATTGTGAAACAATCTTTTCAATTGAATTAAAATAAGTTTTAGAAACAGTTGCAAGGCCAACTGTTGGAATTTGATCTTTATATTCCTCTACCCTTGCATATTCCGATTCCTTATTAAGTACTTCTTGAATTTCCTTTACCAGCATTAAAAGTGATGAATTCAATTTAATGCAATCATGAATTTTTCGATTAAGACTTTCTACTCGTTGAGTGCTATTTGCACCTGCTGTAAATTGATTATTTGTGTAGCATACAGCCCATTTGTGTTTAAAAGGATCTAACTGTCGCTTAATATAACTATTTGCTGATGTATATTTTGATTTTAAACTTTCCCAATGATGTTCAAAAATATTCAAAACCAATGTATTCCTACATTCAAAAAAGTCCTCACGAAACTTTTGAATTCATTTAAACTCAATTTGTTTCAAAGTTTTTTTTTAGATTAAGATCAATATAAAACAAACATAAACAATGAATAGAATCTGAAAATTCTAAAGATATTGCATTAGCCATTGCTAGATTAGAATCAGTGAATACAACTCTTGGTATTAAATGTCCTGTTCCCTTTTTGATCATTTTTAATGCCCAAATAAAACTGTCCTCTGTTTCATCTTCAAGTAAAACAGTTGCAACAAGTCGTGTTCGATTACAATTGTCAATTATAGCAAAGAAGCAAGCTACCATATTATATTTATTTGTACGGGATGTGGTATTAAAAAAAATTACATCATAATATCGGGTTCATAAAACTGCTGTTCAGGTAATAACCATATTAATCCACATAGTTGATGCTCAATTTCATCGAATCTTACTTCAATAAACTATCGCGGATCATTTACTCGTTGTGAATACAAATGTTTCATAAGGTTTGATGTAAGGTTGCTTGTCTAAACTCATTTTGGATTTGGCAAAATGGTAAAACCTTTAGTTTCGCTAAATTTTTACTAAATGTTTGATATAGTTTCGCCATTTTTATAAGCTTTGATATAGTTTTACCTTTTTCCAAATTTCGCAGATTTTTTAATAAGGTTTTAATATAATTTAACCAAGTTTTACTTTTACCATTTAGACGTCTGGCTAAACTCTTGATTTCGTCCAGCAACCTTAGTCTGATGTATCAAATTCAACCCTTGTTACTAGTTTTTTTTTTGCAGCTTGAATAGTATTGTAAAGATTTTTCTGATGAATCTTTCTTCCAGGAAATTTTCCTCTCAAAAGACGGCCAATATTTTGTGCACTTGTTATACCATGCTGTACACAAAATTCAATAAATTGAATCATATCTTTACTAAGTTTATGATATTTAGCAATATTAGTCGAAGGTAAAGGTATCATTGTATGATTGTATTTATCAATCACAGTAGTAAAAAAATCATCAGTGTAGTTTTTGAAAATTTTTCGTTAACCCTCCATTTGCAATCTGTTGCTTTAGATTGTTGATTTCATTGATCATTCGGATTAAACACTTTTTTTGCTTGATACTTACCTGCACAACCACACTCCCAGCCAATTCTTTGTATCATTTTATTGCCATTATCTGAAATTTGACTTTCAGTATGTCTTCTTCGAATACTAAACCCTTTTTCCAATCCATATTTATTTAGAAATTTTTCTGTGTTCTCCCATGTGTGAAAGGTTTGTCCTACAATGATTTTAAGAGAAAAATTATTGCATTCTTCATCCGATGAATCTATATCAAATTCAAAACAGTGGCTTGTATCATTTTGGCCATGTGATCCATATGAAAAAAGGTGACCTTCCAATCCCGGATCAGGTATATTTTCTTTGTTAGTTGATTTATTAATATCTACAATTCTATTTTCATTTTGAATAAAAAAAGTGAAGGCGATAAGTTTTGGTCGATATGATCAATCGTTTCCATTACGGGAAGATTTGAAAAAATGCAGATCGTTGAACAATCTAAAAAAAAAGTACTTATTATTCTGATTTATGATGTAATAAAATTACATGTCGATGTGAAAATTACGTCACGTGATAAACCGCTCTGGTTAAACATAGTTATTTTCATATTAATAATAATTAGAAATTACTTAATTTAATTTCTATAAATAATTTTTATACTACTGAATTAATTATAAATAAACTCATTTTTAATATGCTACTTATATTATTAACTTGGTAGTAAAAGCTGAAATAAATATATAGAAGATGAAATTAAAAAGCTTTATCAATTTGTTATTAAAATAAAAAATTTGCTAATATTATTGTATAAATTAGTACTGCTTAAAAGTTTAATTTTCTAAACCTAATTTTAAATATAAATACTTATTAGAATTCTACTTACTTGATGATTTTTAGACAAATTTTAATGCAAAATGACTTATAAATGCAAATTCTGAAAAATTGATAATATTTTTTCTATTATTTATGAATGGAGTCATATTAAAATATATATTATTATAATTATTATTTTTATAATTAATTATTATTTATTTTTTAGAAATTATAATTGGTTTTACAACCTATGTATGAGACAATATAGCAGTTATTTTAATCATCAAATCCTACACAAGGTGATATACAATTGGTTTTTAAGGAATGTTTAAAAAATTGGATCAATATCAAAAAAGAAAATCATAATATACAAAAAGATATAGAATTAGCAATTAATAACAAATTAAAGAAATATTAGAATAGAAATTTCAAGCAAACTTCAACAATTTCTTCAGTATTAATCCACAGTATAAAACCATATTATCCAATAATTTACAAAATTTGTTATAATATATTCCTCCTTACAAAATAAATAATATCAGGTTTAGCTATTTCAAAAACAATAATTCCAGAAACAGCAAGGGCAATTATTTTTATGAGTTATATTTTTAACTAGTTATGGTTAAATGTTTATTTCGTTCGCAGAAAAAAAACGAATTAAAGATCACACTGCTTCCTGTTTTGTATTATGCATTGTTTGTGTTACTATTTATAATAAAGAAAGCATTATAATAGGAGTTTTACCCATTGATGTCCATCTGTTTTAATTAAATTATGCAGGTTCCGGTAACGGTACTTTTATTAATTTAAAAAATTTATTTAACCTATGTTGGTTTTACCTTAAAAATCGAAAATCAATAAAAACGGAAAATAGCGGATCTTATGCATGCGCAGTTAATTTTACTCCGATTAGTATATTCTAGCATTCAGATTATTAAACATCAATTCGGAATTCTCTTTTCCGTGAACCGCAACATTCTTAATACACCTATATTTGTATTTCGATGAAAGCTTTTTTATAATTATATTTTATTTGAATGAAACTCATTAATAAACTTAGTTTACTATCTATATATTTGAAACTTAATAATGATTTTCTTTTTATTTTTAGTGAGTCATGAAAGTTCTGCGTTTTATTTATTTCCATATTTTCCGAAATAGATGAACTATGGAGAAGGTCACGATTAACCTTTAATTTTGTGCTTCTTAGAATATACGGAATTATGAGACCGGAACCCAGAAAAAACTTTATAAAAAATGTGATGTTTTCATAAATTCTCTCATTCTTTTTTAAAAATCTTTACTTTTTTTTTTTTTTAAAAAAAAAAAAAATTATCCTATTGCTGATTTATAAGCCGAATTAAATAAAAATAAACCTTTACAAAACAAAATTGAGAACCACTTGAAATCGATATAATGTTAGAATCTGTTCCTTCAACATCAGGCACACACAAATCTCCATCAAGACAAAATACCGTTCACAGTTATACAAGTAATAAATCAAACAAAAAAATAATAGATAGAGAAATAAATCGAAAATTTAGTATCAGAAGTCGAAAGAGTACAAAAAGTTATCGAAGTCATAGAAGTGAAAATCATTTACCATGGGTAATGTATTTATTGGCAAGAAAGGTGTTGCAAAAAATACAGAGTATAATATGGATAACGATGCCACCATCAAACCAGCTTCCTGAAGATGAAATCAACCAAAAGTTACGAGAAATTTATGTTATAGCGAAAACTGACACGTCGAGACCAAGAACTCTTCAACCATTTTGGGATCAATATTGTGATTGGTTAAAAATTGGGAAGATTTTTGATTCACAATCCCAAGTAGAATATGGGATCGCGAAAGGTGAATTTCGTGATTTAAATAAAAGGTTAAAAGAATCAAACCAAGCACCAATTTCAATAACAAATTTTCAATCTCATATGCAATTACCAGAATGCGTTAGATACCTAAGTTCTTTATCCAATAAACTTTTAAAAACCAAACTAGGAGCTTTAACATATTTTAAAGTCCTCTTTTTGTTATTACAATATATTTTAAATATTGTATTTATTTCTCAACAATTAAATGAATTGATTGATTTTAACGCTGATTCGTTACAAGAATCTATAAGTAAAGATATCAATTTACCTAAGACGAGAGAGGAGTACTTCAAATCATCAATAGGGATTGGATATCTGCTTGAATTTTCATTTTTAGCCACTTTAATATTCACGACGATACTTCAATTAATTACATTTCTCATAACGACTTCTATTATAAATAAGGGAATCGCATTTCTAAATTTCATCGAGAATATACAAAAAACTGCAGAATTTTCATTATTTAAATTTATTCATTTATTAAATCCATCATCTTATATAATGGAATTTCATGAACCTCCTTTATTAAAATTTATAACAAATGCGGTTAAATTTACATTACGCAAACCAAATTATGAACTAAAAAAATTTGTATTAATTTATAAATTATTTTATACCTTTATAGTCAAACCAATATTTTCATTATTAGGTTTAATGGCTCTTTATATCAAATTAATTCAAGTTTCCACTTCTTTAGAATGGTTAAATAGATTAAATTATGCTTCATTATTCGTTGAAAGTTGGAATCATTATACCTATCTTTTAAATTTTTTGGGTTTGGCTAATAACATTGCTGGTTTATATGGTTTACAACCTAATGAAGAAAGGCAAGCTTTCTTTGACATACATAAAATTCATGAATATGATTTTGTTTATTCTTTAATTGATCAGAAAAAACAATTTTATAAGCGTTATTGGAATCTTACTTTGTATGCCGTTGGTATCGATTATAAAGATTTAATTGAAATTTTTTGGGATGAGGTTTATGGTCCTGATGATGACGAACCTTTGGTTGAAATGGTATCTGAACCACTTGAAATCATCTCAACAGAATCTTAATATCATAATATGGACAATTGGTATATGATATCTTTACATATTTTATTAACTTATTTAGAAATTATAATAATAAAACAAAATAAATATTGGAAGTTTGCTAGGAAAAAGTCTATTTATTATTTAGTCTTTTTCCTAGCAAACCTCTCATATATATATATTAATTACTGTAATAAAAGATATCTTAATTGTATCAAGATGTATTTCCAAATAAATGCTGCCTTTTCCTTCGACAGGATAGTTCATTTTTATATAATACATGAATGATTAAGATCATTCATGAAGACTTTTTTTAATGCTATGGAGGAATTTATTGTGTCTGAATGTGGTATCTTGCGATGCTTAATTATGAACAATTTTAACTGCATTTTACTTTAAATCCGCATAAAAGAAAACTGCACTTCTTATTACTCTTGTTAATAAATAGGCAAATAAGAAATAAAAGAAAGCGAAATTTGTGAGAAATATATACAGTATATATATATATATATATTTTTAAAAAAAGTCGATTAAACTTTTTCAACAAATTCCATATCTTTGTTAAGTTCTTTGGTGTTTTTCCATAAAGGATAATGACCAACATCTTTATAAATAACAGCTTTACTATTTTGACCGAGAGAAGCAAAATAAAGACCATGTTCTATATTAATATATAAGTCTTTTTCTCCCAATGATATGCAAAATAGGTAAGGTACCGATAAATCAAATTCAATTTTTGATTTTTTTTTTAGGGAAAAATTTATATTATAAATACTAACAAGTGATCTCCAAGGAGATAAAACAGTATTACACAAAAAGAATGAATGTAATTGATCACGTAATGTTTTGAAACTAAAGATGGTAAACTTTCAAAGGCAGAAACTAATTGGCCGTTTTGTTGTCCTTAAACTATTAACAGAATTAGAGATTGATACGAGACCATCAATTCAACTTGTGGCAAATTTACTGCGGTGGTTAAAGGAATATAATACGGTTCTATTTTTTGATGAAAAGTTAGCAAAAAAAAATGGCGATCAATAAAATAAAGAAATGCATCATATTACATTATTACATCATAAATGATTTTTATTCTGTTTAATCAAAAAAAAAAAAAGAATTACATATGTATTTTCCCCCCTTCTTTTAATAAAATGAAAATCAAGTCTCTTAAAACAATCCATCATAAATATATATATATTTATTAATATTATATTTTTCCTTCTGTATTTTTTCTTTTTTTTTTAAAAAATAAAAAACAAATATATATTTAATATGTCATCACCAGCATCTTCCACTTTAATTCTTCCTGCAATCACATCATCAAGCTCTTTACCAACAATAATTTCATATCATTAAATCAGATGAATCTGAATGTTCAGACCGATGCGTTTTAATGACATTAATTTTGGTGTCTATAAGGACCAATTCCATTGTCGATTAAGAAGTTACAACAAAATAATCGAAATCATGACCAAGCCACGCCACGTGCTAATAAATCGAATCGCAATAATAATTTTGCCCAGCGTTATTAGCGTTATTAACCAATTGTGGTATATTTATTATTAGCCAATCACAACATAAAATTAGATCCAAAAAAATTTAAATCTCTCTCTTCACTTTTTACAACTTTTTTTCTCAAAAATAATTTGTAAATATGATGCAAGCACCAGTAATCGTTATGAGTACGCAATTTTATATTGTAATTAAATTCTTTTCTTTTTAGTTCAAAAATAATCAATTTATTTTATTTTTAGATACGAATGTAGAACGGGAGACGGGGAGAAAAGCCCAAATCTCTAATATTACGGCGGCTAAGGTATTATATTTATTGAACATTTAGAAATTGATCGATGAAAATTATAGTAATTTAGTTAAATAATGATTATTAGACCGTTGCCGATGTTATACGTACCTGTCTTGGACCCCGTTCTATGCTTAAAATGCTACTTGATCCAATGGGTGGAGTTGTGCTTACAAATGATGGTAATGCCATTCTTCGTGAGGTTGAAGTCGCTCACCCGGCAGCTAAGAGTATGATTGAGTTGAGTCGAACGCAGGAAGAAGAAGTCGGTGATGGTACTACCAGTGTTATAATTTTGGGTAATTAACATTTTATCTCAAATCATAATTTCTTCATTATATATATACATATATTTCAACTTTGTTTTATTTATTAATAAATCTTTTATATGAATAGCCGGTGAAGTGCTTGCACAAGCATTACCTTACCTTGAAAGAAATATTCATCCTATCATAATCATATCAGCATTTAAAAAGGCTCTTGAAGATGCTATTAAAGCAATCGAAGAAATTTCAAAACCAGTAGATATCCTCGATCAAAAGGAGATGTTGAATTTAGTTAAAAGTTCTATTGGAACGAAATTTGTGAGTCGTTGGAGTGATTTGATGTGTGAATTAGCCTTAAATGCCGTTAAAACAGTTGCAAAAGATGAGGATGGAAAGCGCGAAGTTGATATTAAAAGATATGCTCGTGTCGAGAAGGTACTTAAAGTCCAATATAAATCATGCGATATTTTATTTTTAATATTTAATAATTATTTGTTACCTCAAAGATTCCTGGTGGTGAAATTGAAGAGTCAAGAGTATTAGATGGTATTATGTTGAATAAAGATGTAACACATCCTAGCATGCGTCGTAGTATTAAAAATCCACGTATAGTACTTTTGGATTGCCCATTGGAATATAAGAAAGGAGAATCTCAAACATCGGCAGAGATCATAGATGAAAGTCATTGGAATAGATTATTACAAATCGAAGAAGAGCAAATTAAAGAAATATGTGAAAGAATCATTTCAGTTAAACCTGACCTTGTATTCACCGAAAAGGGAGTTTCTGGTGAGTTTTTAATTTAAAAAAATATATGGTTTATTACGAATTCATTATTAACCTACTTTGCTATTTTAATAGATCTTGCACAGCATTATTTATTGAAGGCTAATATTTCTGCTATTCGTCGTGTTCGCAAAACTGATAATAATCGTATCGCTCGTGCTATAGGTGCTACTATAGTAAACCGATTAGATGATTTAAAAGAAGAAGACGTTGGTACAGGATGTGGTTCCTTCAATATTGAAAAGATTGGTGATGAGTAAGTATATAAAATATGTACATCATTCTTTTAAAATTTATGCGCTAATCCTTTCAATCCTTTCTTTTATTTAAAAGTTATTTCACTTTCCTTACACAATGCAAAAATCCAAAAGCATGTACAATCCTACTTCGTGGTCCATCGAAGGATATTCTCAACGAAGTAGACCGTAATCTTCAGGATGCAATGTGCGTTGCTAGAAATGTGTTCTTTAATCCACGATTAGCTCCTGGAGGCGGTGCAACTGAGATGGCTATAAGTGTGAAACTTTCGGAAAATGCAAAAGCAATAGTGGGAGTGGAACAATGGCCTTATAAAGCTGTTGCGGAAGCCATGGAGGTTATTCCAAGGACTTTGATACAAAATTGTGGCCAAAATCCTATTAAAGTTTTGACACAATTGAGGGTAACAAAAAAAAAAGGTTTATTATGAATATCAATTTTTCTTTATAGTGATAAGATTTCATTAAAAAAAATTTTTTTTCTTTTTTTATAGGCTAAACATGCTACAGGAAATTACTCTTATGGTATTGATGGGGAAGCTGGGACAGTTGTTGACATGCATGAATACGGTATTTGGGAACCAAGTGCTGTAAAAGTTCAAACTATTAAGACAGCGATTGAGGTATTACATTATATTTATTATATGTATGAAATAAAATATAAACCAAAAAGAAACTTAAAACTAATAGCATATTTCATATTTATTTTTTTTAGTCCGCATGTTTACTCCTTCGCGTAGATGACATTGTGTCTGGTGTCTCAAAGAAAAAGTCTGGAGGCGCTCCACAACCAACGCAGGATGCTGAGGGTGGTGAAGGTGCGGATTTAGGAGAACGATAAGAAAAGATACAAAATGAATGGTAAAAAAATAATAGATTATAATATTTATCAAATAATTTTTCAACATGCAACTTTTAGTTTACTTAACAATAAAAAATGATCGTCCATTTTTTGTTTTTAATAAGAATTTAATTGCAATTAATACTATTTATCAAAGTATAAAAATTAAATTTTGTAATACTTTCATTTGTCAATATGCTAACAAAATTGATAAAAAAAATATATATTTTAGTAATTACTTTATTAAAATGAATATAGTTTTAAATAATATAAAATAAATAAATTTTTAATTTTTAATTTTATTTTTGATATTGCTGATGTAATATTTAAAGATATAACAAAATTATTTTACAAATATTAAAACAAATAATATTAAAATATTATAGATTTTTTTTATAATAAAATTTAAGAATTTATAACACCTTTACTTTTCAAATTTCAATTTTTAATTTAAATTATATGTATATTTAAGTATTATTATTTAAATTTTATTTAATATAAAAAAATTTAATATTAAGATTTAAATCATATAAAATTTGTTAATCTTTATAAATATTTAATTAATATATTTTTTTAAATAAATTTAATTATTTTAAAAAATTTTAAATTTTAAAAAAAAATATTCTAATCATAACTAATAATAACTTATTGGATAAAAATATATATATTTTTTTTTAATTGTTAACAATGCAGTCTAGCTGTAGTACTTTATTATGTATTATAAATTGAAGAAAATTCTAGCAAAAAATATTAAAATACGTAACTTATCCTTGTGGTTCTATTTCAAACTCATTTGAATCAATGAAAATACCAGACAAGTGATAGCAACCATCACACCATATAAATAACATCTGAGGCTATATAGATACTATGCTAAATTTGCACGTGATCTTTGATGACAAAGGATCTGCAGAAAGGCAAAGACTAATCAAAAGAAAGTATATTTGCTTAGAAAGGGGAAGGGTGTCATCATGTGAGATTTGTTTATCTGAAATATGTCAACCATGATTGTTAGTTCAAATACCATTAATATCTACTTTTTGTAGGCAAAAAAAAAAAAAAAAATTTTCAAAAAGAGGTGAAGAAAAAATATTTTAACAAAAAACAACACTGTTTAGACTATTTCAAAATTTTTTTATGTAAATAAGGGTGTAGAGAAAGAAGAGAGAAGTATTTTGAAAAGAGAGTTTTTTTGTTTTGTTTGCAAATTAAGCTGTGACTAGCATTGAACAGACACTTTGTTAAAGTAAAATTCTTGGAAAATAATCCAACAAAAAAAAAAAGGCTCTTATTTATTAGATAAAATAATTCAATTTGTTATATTTTTAAAATACTGTAAATTAACTGATTATTACTAATAAAATCAACATATTGTAGTGATAACAAGTAATCTGAAATGATCCAAATGACTTTGATGATTGGTTATTAGTCATTAAGTCATTTTAAAAGCTAAATGACCATAACTTAAATCATTTTAAAATATATTATAGATATTAAAACAAAATATTTCAAAACTTAATAAAATATTATTTTATATAAGTATGTAAATAAAATTAATTAATGAAATTTTAAATGTTTTTAAATTTACTTACAAAATTAAAATTTAAGAAAATTCTTGTACAAAATTCAGATATTGAAATTTATTTGTAAATGATTCGCTGTTATTTAGAATTCAAATCATTTGCAAATGATCATAACTCAATGATTAAAATCATTTTGTCATGATTTCAGATCATTTGAAAATTAGTCAAATGACCTGGTTATTTGCCATCACTAACATATTGTAATAGTTGAAGTTATCTAATATAGATATTACTCAATATAATCATTATAAATAATTGATAGTTATTTTGATAAATAAAAAATCAGTTATCAATCAATACTTAAAATTAAAATTAACCTAAAATTAACATAAATCAGCTTAAAATCAGTTATCAATTAGCTTAAAAATAGCCTAAAATTAATTAAACAACTATTTATATTTATTTTTATTTATTTATTATTTATTAAATTTATTATTATTAACTAAATTAAATTATTCATAAAAATATATTACAATATATTTTATTCAATAAAAAATAACATTACAATTTTTTAAAAAATATGCAAAATAAAGAAATCAGTTAAAAAACATCAAAAACTACCTTTAATTTACTTACCTTAATGTATTTTTAAAAAAAGTAAATAAATAATAAAGAAATCATTTAAAAATATCAAAAATTACTTCTGATTTACTTACTTTAATATATTTCTAACAAAAAAAAAAGTAAATAAAAATAAAGAAATTAGTTAGAAAACTATCTCTAATTTACTTATATTAATGCATTTCTAAAAAAAAAAATATAAAATAAAGACTTGATAAAGATATAATCAGTCGTTAGATTAAATTAAAGGAAAATGGTTAAGAGAACTAAGACAAATAATAAACGAGTTGGTATTGATCAAAAAAGGTTCTATCTAGAAGCTGAAAAAAAACTATATGATTGGATTATTGAATAAAGAAAGTAAGGTTTAGTTATTAATTATACAATTGCACAAGTTAAAATGCTAAATATTTTAAAACCTAATATGATAAGTCTTTATAGAGATTCAACAATGAATTTAAAACATCAAACTGTTGGATGTCTGGATTTATAAAAAGGCATAATTTATCTTGACGGTAGTGTATTAAAATTTCACAAAAGCTTTCATCACAAATTAATAAACTACTAGAAAATTTTCGTCAATTTATCACTCATCTTAGAACTGAAAAATTATTTCAGTTGTTTATTATTCTCAATATGGATAAAATACCTGTCTGATTTGATATGATAAGAAATTTTATTATTAATAAAATTGCTTGTCTAAACTCATTTTGGATTTGGCTAAACATCTAAACCTTTAGTTTCGCTAAATTTTTACTAAGTGTTTAATATAGTTTCGCCATTTTATAAGCTTTGATATAGTTTTACCTTTTTCTGAATTTCGCAAATTTTTTAATAAGATTTTAATATAATTTAACCAAGTTTTAC